GTTATGAAGTGTCCTCTGGAAACATTTTTGGAAGTCCATAAAATGGCCTTAAATACGTTTAGTGACTAATACATCAATGAGAGGCAAAGGGGGTGGGAATCCAAGACTATTTCAACAAAAACAGTTCCTAATTATCTCTTCAAAAGATGATGTTTTGGGGATTGTTGTTGTTATGCAAGAGTTTTAAGAAGGGGGGGGGGGAAGGAAAGACCATTTAATGCAGCCCTGTCAATCAGCTGTCACAGAGTTCATTTTTCAACCTCAACCATTATGCAGATTGGGGTATTATTATAAAACACATTTTCGCTCAAGCATGAGGCCTCAAGCAAGTAAGACAGGTGGCAGTGGCACAGGACGAGTGGCTGGCCTTCCTTTGGGGCACTTCTGCTGCTGCGCCTGTAACACCAAACCAGCAAACAGCCACGCTCTGACAGAAGCGTCTGTTGAAGAACACACTTTTCTGTATAATTACTTGAAAAGATTCATATAATAAGGTCATTAAAAATCGTTTCACTTCTCAGCAGAGCATGACACTGGTTTACTCTTTCCACTCAGATTTAAGTTGTTCCCAGATACCATGCAAACGGATTTTGCTTTAGATCTGAGGCAATCGCAGGGTGCTTCTAAGTTAGCATTGCCAATGCTGAAACATTTAAATTGCAAATGTAAACTGAAACTATTAAGGTTGGAAAAAATATGCTTTTAATTGTTCTCAACTGGGAGAAGTTAGCATCATTCTAATTATTCTTTGAGTTACCTTGCTCTAATGAAGGAAGCACATGCCTTTATCCCAATGTTCTGCTCCCAGGACTCGGAGGCTGCACGATTCCCTTTGTCCGTCCTTTCCGGGTCTTCCGAAGTGCAGACGAATTCTTTGACAGCCTGGCTGCTGCTACAAGTCACTGCATCCTCCCTCTCTGTTCCTGCAGCACGGCTGGACCAAGAGCCTTCTTTCTGCCCCTCTGACCCGTGAGGCTGCAAATCAATCTCTCTTCCAGTTGATGTGTTGGATCCGCTGTCACTTACACTGACCTCTTCAGACCGACTGAGCTTTGTTTCTGGAATGACTAACGGAGACACATGCTGTAAAAGGCTCATGTAAGCTTCAGCAAGTAACTTCCAGTACCACGGGTTGAAAGGATGTAGGCAGATCAGGTGCTGCAGACATGTGATCTTTTTTTCTACATTTTCCAGACCCTGGTAAATGGCAAACTGAAGGCTGAGAACTGTCGTTAAGTGATCTGTGTTAGTAGCGTCGTTTCTCTAGAAACAAAAGATGATAGATTAAAAAGAGGAGTAGAACAGAATCATCTCTCAGATCTTAACAAAATGTCTGAAAAATGACACATAAATATTGCTAAAGGTAATTTTTAAATCATACAAAACTGTGCTCCTAATTTTAAATACTACGTGATACAGATCACGCACGACCAAGCTGACAGCATTCCCTTTGGCTGCCTTGTCCCGGTCCAAAAGGCAAGAAGGCCCCAAATGCTGTCATTTATTTGCCTTCAGAGTTTTACACAGCTGCCCTTCTTTGAAGTGTAAACACCTTTTACAGAAAATAAACAGCAGCAGTAAAATTCTTGCAGACTCCAGAGCCTCTGGACATTTTCCTTTATGGGAAAAACACGATTTGTGGTCAGATACTCTTCTTGGTGGCAGTTTGGCAGCAAGTATATGGAAATAAAAGGGAGTTTTGAATGGTCACTTTTATAGTGGAAAGATTTAAGCACTCATTTATCCCCTTTCTTATAATTCCTATTACATTACATTAATTCTGCCTGGCAGAGCATGATATTTAGTCCCTTCCAGGACTACCAGCCTCCCTGCACAGGGAGCTCATTGTGGTACAGGGTGTTCTGATTTCTAAAGAGTGATTACATCTGCAGTGACAGTTACCCTCTGTTTACCAAATACTCTGAGCACTGAACATCCTGAAGGATTATACACGTGAAGATTATTTTTACAGAAAATGACCCATATAAAAGAACTACTGGCAATATTTTGATGTTCACAGCATAAAAGAAATGTTGCATTATTTACCATTTTTTCTGCAATATCCAGAGCCTCCTGGTGCCTTCCTAGACGAGATAAGCACCGAGCCTGGCCCTCTTGGACATCGCGCCTCATTGCAATGTTACTGGGAGGTAAGAGCAGCAAGCAGTTCGAGTATTCACACAGGGCTTTCTAGTGGTGTCGACAAAAAGAAAAGCCAAATACAACAGCAAGAGATTTTCATTTAAAAGCAAGCCTGACAGTACGTTTTGTCTATGACTACAGTCACAAAGGGAATTCGGGAGCTGAAGTCCACATTTTCATTTCTCTGGACTCAGCTACCACCTATGCCAGCAACAGACAAGGGCCCTGGTACTACACAGCCAAATCAGTGGCGAGCAACCTCAATCCTAACTCGTGCTGAAGCCCTGGCAGGATCCAGCACACATCTGTCCCTCTGTCCCCCACCAGGCCTGGTCCAGAAGGGATCATCTGCTGACCTGGGCAGTACGTGACACAAGGCATCTTTCCCTCAGCTACCAACTCAGTGATCAGAGCACTCATCCTAAATTTGGGGGAGCCTGTTTCAAATCCATGACATCCTCCACGAGATGGTTTGAACCTGCAAGTACCTCACCTCACAGGAATAATCAGCAAGCTGGAGAACACCACAAGGAAGGTGAATCACCATCGTTCCTGTAGGGTGGTTCTAATTTGCATGAAATAATTAAACATTAATTGGGCTAAGGAAAAAGACAAGAATGAGCAGTACTTCTGTAGCTTAATGCTCAGGGCACTCACCAGGACTCCAATTAACATTTAAATACATTAAATTACGTATTCAGTGAAGCTGAGACCTGAATCTTGGTTCCTCCGTATCCATGTGAGTGCTCAGACCAGAAGACTTAAGACCAGTGCCCATTCTCCCGTCTCTCAAAATGAATATTTAATTATTCCTTGCAAACATGAATGGTTCCAATAGAAAGAGCTTCCTGGCCACATACCCAAAATACTTCCTAGCAAAATGGCTGAAATATTTTTCTTCCCTGGTGTTAAGTTCACATTCCTTCTCAAGCAACAGGATCAGGCATTACAAATCCCAAGCAGATTCTACAGTCATCTATATCCTAAAAACGGGCACAGCTTAGATCACCACTGTCCTTGGCATTTCCTATCAAATGGCCTAGGCTGACGTAAAAAAGTCATTACAGTGAGTGAGGAGATTACTACCCCCATGTACTTATTTCCAGTCCCCTTTCAAAACTGTAATTTTACGTGTAGTCTGGTTTTGGTTCTGTCACAGTGATCCAGGTCAGCAATAAGACAGAAGATATTTTTAACATATATCACTGTGACAAGAAAGGGTTAGGAAGCAATGGTCTGTTCTGCTGGCAGATCCGATGGGGTGCTGTCCTCTCCCAAGACAGTCCTGCAGCACACAGCAAGGAGCAATCTGCTCTTCCTGAGGGTCAGCAGCCACGTCTGACCGCAGCCTGAGGCGTCTCTCTTCTCAGCACACTTTTATGAATCCCTTCAGGGTGTCTCAGCTGAGACTGGAAAGCATCTGTCAGGTGTAGACAAGGCAACAGCAGTGCTGGAATAACATTAGAAAGCAGAAGTCGGTGCCAACTAAGGTACAAAAAGATCCACAGATCCAATGGGCAAGGCAAAAGGAGCAGAGTCAGAAGATGGCTCAAGGGCTTTGAAATCAGGGAGCCTGTAATGCAAACCATAGCCTGAAACAAGAAGCTATTAAAGCTGAAACAAGGCCAGAGGCAGCTGATTTCAACCAGGAGACAAGGTAACAGAAGAGCAGATCCTGCAGCAAGGACTACAGAAGCAAAAGAGTATGGATGGTTAGAAATACAGCTCAGGAAGCAGGCAGTGAGGAGAGTCTAGGACTAGGGCAGAAACAGAAACGGGGAACATAAATGCACCCGAGGCACAACCAGTCATCCAGAGCAAGGGGAGGCAGCGGAGGTGGGACAATGAATGATGAGGCTCACACACAGTCAGCTTTCACCCGACAGCGGGGGGAGCTCTGAGGAAGGTGAGCAGCAGCCAGGTGGCTGCCAGCGATCTGACAGCCTTTGTGGGACATGGCTGCTCCCAGGAGCAGAGAAACCCGCACGTTTAACTTTGGCTAAGCACGACTTCCATGGCCACAAACACCACCTCTGCTCACTGCTGATGTGCGAGCCTGGTCTGGATCTGCTCCGGGTGCAGAGCAGCATTTCTGGCCAGTTCACACTGGCTTCACGCTGACTCTTGGCAAGGCAAAAATCTGGCTGGGGGAGCCTGCCAGAACACAGTTACCTATATAACTTTATATAACCCTTATATAAATATCCATACACATTCACAACAGGGTCTACAGGGTCATCGCAGTTTGTATCTCCGCTGCTTCCACCAACCAGGGCCTGGACCCTGCGAGAGCCCTGGAAATACCTCAAAC